TAATGGTTCAAGCTAGAGCATCAGAAAAATATGTGCTTTTACATAATTTTCTGTACTTTTAACGGAAATCAGTTAGATAAGGACTCGAGTTAGAGTATCAGGAGTTTGAGCTCGGATCGGCTCGTAACTAGAGATGAAATGAAACGAACGTTTTGAAATCGTGTTTGTTCAAAACTCGGTTACTTAACGCAAAATATGTGTTTTTACACAATTTCTTGATCTCTTAGTATAATTGAGACGGATAAGGGCTCAAGTTAGAGTATAAAAAATATGTGTTTTTTACATATTTTTTTAAACTTTTAGCGAAAATTGACTGGATTAAGGACTCAAGTTAGAGTATCAGGAGTTTGAGCTCGTCAGACTAAAAAAATGTGTTTTTACGTAATTTTTGAAACTTTTACTAAAAATCGACTGGATAAGAACTGTAGCTAGAGTATAAAGAATTAGACTTGTTAGACTAAAAAATATTTATTTTTACGTAATTTTCTAAGCTCTTAGTATAATTCGGTTGGATAGGGGCTCGAGTATTGAGATTTAGAGCTTGAATCGGCTCATTTACAACTTTATTAGCAACGGATATCACTATTTGTTGAATGGTAGTATTTTAAGTGGTGAAAAAGGAATAATATATTTTTGTAAGAACAATTGAAAAATAATATTGTCAGTCGTTTAATTTTTGTTTTCTTTTTTAGTTGTATCACATGAAGAATTTAATAACTATTAAGAGCTTGATATAATAATAATAATAGTAATAATAATAATAATAATAATAAAAATAAAAAACAATAATAATAATAAAGTGATGCTTCAGCTAAATTTTCAAGGATATATTCTTGCTTGACAAGTAAAAAAAGCCTACCTCTAAGCCTAAGTTTGGTCAAAAACTAGGGTGTGTAGCTGTTTAGGGCATAAACGACTTACGAATTTGATTTCATTTAGGATGTTCTCATTGAATATAAGATCTTTCCAAATAAAAAGTAAAAAATAAAATGCTTTGTCCAGAAAATGAACTAAAAAATAAAAAAGTGAACATAAAAGTTTGAGATGGATTTAAGATTGTGGATGTATATAAAATAAAATGTACTGTTTAGAGTTTATATTATAAAAACAATGAATTATTAATTGATAGTATTGATAGTTAAAAATATCTAATGAATTAATGATATTTTTGTTTTAAATATATAATAATGACCGACTAATCCGGAATCGAGCCGGGTAGGACCACAAGGGCGGCAAAGCTCTACCTCAAGAGTTTTAACACAGCTGCATTCCCAGGGCTCGAACTCGAGACCTCTGGTTAAGCTGGGAGAGACCCCAACCATCTCACCCACGTGCTCTTGGGTTATATTTAATTATACTGGTGAAGTTTGTAAAATTAAAAATGAAAATGAAACTTTTGGTTTAACTAAAAAAACAAAAAAATTGAAATATCTCACATCCCAAAACAACTTCATTCTCATCCAATTTGAAATTGGATTTATCGGCACACAATCAAGAAAAAGCAAACTTATTGAAGATATTGATGAGAAAACCAAACATCGGGATAAAGTTTGTTTAGAATTAGCTTTGAATATAATGTACATTCTACATAATTTTCATTATTCTTATCTGTTATAAACTAGTATGAGCCCCGTGTATTGTTATAAATTAAAAATTCTTATTAAATAACATTTATAAATTAAAAATATGAAATCAATATGTAATAAAATTTATCTATATTAATTTATTGAAAATGTTATATAAAATTTAAATGGTGAAAAATTACATAAAAATGTCTATTCAAATTAGTACACAATCCGTGCAGTGCACACAACTGATAATAAGTTACATTATATTCGTTACAAAATAAGAGGGGTGTATTCAATTAGGATTTCTAAGGACTTTTTAAGACTTTAGAAATCCTGGTGTATTCAATTTAGGTTTGTTAAGACTTTTAAAAATCTTGAAGTATTCAATTGGGATTTTAAAAAGTTTTACAAAATTATGAGGTATTTAATTTATTTGACACTAGGATTTGTTATGACTTTTTAAGATTTGGTGGGATTTCTAAATAAAAAACCTTATATGAAATCCTAGTTGAAATCCCACCTCCAAACTTAAGATTTCATGGAATTTCTCCAAAAATCTGAAAATCTTAGCAAATCTCAAATCTTAAGGGGGTGATTGGATATGAATTCAGCTAGTAAAAATCTAATTGTTTTTTTAATTATAGTTAAGTTTGAAAAAAAGTGGTATGGTTAGTTGTTAGTGGATATATTAAAATAGTATTGAAAATAAAATAATTAAAGTTGATTTGATGTAAAAGAAAGAGAATGATTGAAAGTGATAGTTAGTTAAAATTATGTGAGTGGATGAATAGTAAATTAAAGTTGATGTGATGTGTAAAAATGATTGGTTGATATTATTTTATTATATTAATAATATTGAAAATAATGGAGTTGAGTTAAAGTTGTGTTAAATTTGCGTTTGAATTAGTTTTTTTACTGTACAATGCATAAACAATCACCCCTTAAAAAGTCTTAAAATATCACTTCAAATCCCAATTGAATACACCCTCCTAAATGTCATTTCAAAAATTTCAGAAATTAGAATAATGTGATTCCATAAAATAGTTATTTTAGTAAAATTTTATCATATATCTAACAACACATGTGAATAATAAGTGTAAATATAAAATTTATATTGTTTCATTATTTAAAATAAATTTATTTTTGTATAAACTATTCAGATAAAAAAAATAAGTAGTTGGGTAATTTATTAAACTATAAATAATTGATTATTTCATTTACGTTCAAGTTAGTATTGACCCGTAAATTATTGAGTAATTTATTAAACTATATATAATTGACTATTTCGTTTACATCCAAGCTAATATTGACTCGTAAGTCATGAATAATTATTTTTTTTTTTAATTTTAAATATTTTTTTTCAATATATTATATACTAAATTTAAACCATGCAACTAATAAAGGTAATAGCCGCAAGTTTTGTTTGTATTCCAAATTTAAATCATGCAACTAACAAAGTTAATAACCGTAATATTTGACCAAAATGATTATGTACATTAATTTAGGCGGAATTTTTCAAATTTTGACAAAAAAACTACCCAATTTAGTAAATCTGAATTTTTAGGCCGGAAACCAAATATTTTTTTACTGACTTTTAATTACTATTTCAAGTAAATATCATTGTCTCCTTATATATTAACTGATGATGATATATATATATATATATTTTTTTTAATATGTTATGTTTATAGGCTCGCTACAAATATTGGACTACAATAAATATAGCTTTTGATTTTAGCATATAATTCTGTTATATGTCAGCCATTAATATGGGAAATATTTTCAAGTCCAAATTCCATGTCTCTGATGTGAACTTTTAAGATTGCAAATCAGGTAATTAACACAGATTCTTTTAACATAGTCACCATAAATATATTAATAGTAAATAACAAAAATACATCTAATCTATCACAATAATGGAGCCTTCAATAACCTAGACGTGGAAAATCAACTTTCAATTGGTAATTGTCTTTAAAGCCGTTGCATAATTATAGGTTAAGTTGGAGTAGAAAAGCCAACCATACACATTAAAGATGTATGAGATTAGATATTTCATAATCAATATTTGATTTTTGTGTATGATATTTTTTCAAACTAACAAAGCCTAGTAATTTTAACATTCATAGCTAGGGAATAAATGTCTCTTATTCTAAAATTGTATTCCCATGAAACCAGACATAAATTGAAATAATTTAAAAATAGAAATTTTTTATATAAGTCGCTCCCTAGGATTTTTTTATCCAAAAAACAAAATTATAAGTTAACTGGACAAAAACAAAATAAAACAAAACAAAAAAAGTTGTGGAAAACAATCAAAAGCACGTATTCTCTGAATACGTTTTGTCATGTAATTTTCTTTGAAAAATGTATTCTGAGAATACGATTTTTTATTGAAAGACGTATGTTGAAAATACGTTTTTCAATGAAATTTATAAAGAAAATGTATTCTGAGAATACTTGTTTTTGATTTTGGTCCAGATTTTTTTTTTATTTTTATTTGTGTCCACTTGTTTTTTTTTGTTTTTTTAGGTAACTACAAAAATGATCAAAGTTGTAATAAATAGACTCACCAAATGATTCAAGTTGTTATTACCTCCTATGAATTATTACGAAATACGAATTATGGCTTGGTTTTGTCTTTTGGAACTATTGTCCAAAAACGCGCTAACCATGTAAGAAATATTAACTAACTTATAAAGTACAAAGTAGTTTCGTGCAAGAATGATGTATGCACTATTGGTTCACAACACAAGTAATATTACCTGCTTATCATAATATGCATTTACACTCCACAAATTTGTCATGGAGACGAGGGAAAAGAAAAAAACTAAGGAGGGTGTGTATTCGAGTCAGTGCTCGACTTGAACTCGTTCAAACTCGAGCTCGAGTCGAGCTCTAGCAGTTCAATCGAGCAAACGAATCGTCGAACATTATTTCAAGAGGCTCGTAAGGTCTACGAGCTGATTGACTTTTTATTTACACAAATACCCCATAGTTTAATTATCAATAGCAAAAATTGTCTATTTAGATTAAAAATAATACCTTTATATCCAAAATTCAGTTGTTAAAATTTCAAGCCGAACTCAAGTCATCTCGAGCATTGAGTCGAGTTCAAGCATTTTTTTTCACGAGTCGAGTCGAGCAACATTTTACGCGAGCAATGAAGAAAAAATTCGATTTGCGCTCGACAAAGTCCTCAACCCGACTCGTTTGTGTAGCCCTAATCACAAGTACCTTATATGGAGGTTCTTTTCACCCCACATCGACAATTTCATCACCTATAAAAATTGCTCCACACTTTGTGAAGTCCTATCAAAGCATTTATTGAAAGGGCAGGCACAAAGTCTTGATTTGGTGCTTGTATGTGAGAGGTGTTTGTGTGTGTATTTCCAAACATAATTTTTGGAAATGGCACAAAAAAAGTAACACCCCAAAAAAAGCACATAAGCAATAGCATCTCTTGAACATGTGAAGAAAGGGACCTCTAATCAAAGATTCAATGTCCCCACAACCAAATCGTCAAAGGGCCCGGCCCGACCCGGTAACAGAACATTAATTCTTTATCATGATTTTACAAGATGGAGATAACATGGACCTTAACTTACTATAGTCTATCATATTCTTCATCAACATTGAAAAACCTGAAGTAAATTGTTTGTTTTTTTATTTTTTTTCCTAATGATAATATGAACCAAAGCCAAGAATCAAGAAATACACCGACTAAGCTTCCATGGCCAACTGTGCTCGGAGATTTAAAGTGGTATTGTACTTCTCTGCGCTAAACAGCTCCTTATAATACCTTTTCCAGCTCGATAGCTTCTTGCTATTTTTTATCATTTCTAGGCTGCCACAGCTGCCTCTTAGAAGAAGCAAAACCTATAATCAGTAGTGTGTAAGTTTTAGCCAAAAAGATGTTCGATATATAATGACCATATTTTTGTAACTAAATTAAGAGGACCACGGGTAATATTTGGAAAGGTAAAATATTTTTACAAACTGAACTTTTTTATGAAGTTCAGGTTGCATTTTCCCAAAAAAATTATAATACGTTGCAAAATCCAAAAAAAAAAAAACCNGCAGCCAATATTTTACCTGAATTTTTTTTTTTCCCTATCTTATGTAACAGCAGTAAAAAATGATAAAATTTGACGTGCCTGGCTTATCCGTGGCCGTTTTATTGAAGACTGTTGGACGCATAAAGAAGCTGCCAAAATCATGAGATTCATTTGCGTGGGATTATAGTTGTTGGCAAGCGAAGGGTCCACAAGCTCCCCGATTTTGTTCTTCCTCAGCAGGGGTTTAGCCTTAGCACAAATAGAAAACCAGTTCAAATGTTGTTAAGAGCTGTTAAATTAAACGAGTCGCTCGCGAGCTCGCCTCGTTAATGCTCGAGCTAAAGCTCCTTCAGTTCACAACTCGGCTTGTTAAAGCTCAAAAATATGATTTTTATGTATTTTTCTATAGGCTCGATTTTGGCTCGTTAAACTCAGACTCGAATCGTTAATATTGATAAACGAGCAGACCTCAAACTCCATTAAAAGCTCGTTAAGTGCTCGAGCTTGAGCAGCATGAGCTTAGTGGGTCTCTTTTGTAATTGGACTGGACTTCCGGGGTAGTTTTTCTAATTATCCAAAACACAGTTACAATTAGTGACCTCAAGGGGGGTTTAGAGAAAAGAGCATACCCACATAACAAGGCTTTGCTGATCCAGCGCTCGACGGCCCGTGATAAGCTCCAACAGCAACACCCCAAATGCGAAAACATCGGTTTTCTCATCAACAATACCGTGCATCAAGAACTCTGGTGCTAAGTAACTGCAGTAATCAGGATTCGAACAAATGGATTTAGAAAGTTCTAGAGTACAATATAATACTAATCTGAGCAGCGTTCGTGTATTAGCGTAAAATAAACGTACACACCCAAAAGTTCCTTCGAATTTCGAAACAGTGAGGTGGGTCCACCGGTCGGGCAGCCATTTCGCAAGTCCAAAGTCACAAATCTGAACTCCAACCAACGACAATTCACAAATAGTATGTAATTTTCTGTAAATGATACAAGTTACTCATAGATTTATCAAATTTTCAATCACAATTTAGAAAAAGGTCAAGTATCAACATACTTACATGACAATTACAACAACCAACATTGAAAACTAGCCTAAAAGGCTATGTTTGGTTTTTTGATAAACCTCATAAGCTAGTTTATAGCTTTTAAGTGAATTTCGAGCTTATAGTTGATAGCTTATGACTTATGGCCGAAAAGCTAGCTTATATGGTAAAAGTATATGCTAAAATTAGCTGATAAGCTAGCTGAAATAAAAATTTCAATCGACTTATTTGAAAAGCTATCCAATGAAGCTTATGAAATAAGCTCTTCGTCCTGCCAAACCAAGCTTGTATATATACAGAAAGCTTATAAGTTAACTAAATAAACTATAAGCTAGCTTATTTGGTTACCGGTACAAAAACTCTATTACCTTTCAAAATCACAAATAATCCCTTAGAAATTAGAAGTGTTTTATACATCCTTTAAGAAAGTTTTCAAGACATAAAATTTTGGAAGGTGCTTTTCCAGAGTAGGCTACCCAAAGATAACTTTCTTTTTAAACTAAACTATGATTCACTGCTCTTTGAAAGTTAGTAAAATAGAACACAAGCCCCTTATAAGCAAAGAAAAGAGAAGATACTACAAATAACCCCTTAAAAGTATTCTGAACATCCCTTGACAAAAGTTTTCTAAACATAAAATTTTGGAAGGTGCTTTTCCAGAGTAGGCGACCCAAAGATAACTTTCTTTTTAAACTAACCTATGATTAACTCTATTACTCTACTCCTTGGAAGGTAGTAAAATAGGACATAAGCCTTTCTAAGCAAAAAAGAAACAAAAACCTTTTGAAGTCTTAATTAATAAATTTACCTGAGGCTCGAATTCCTCTGTAAGCAAGATATTTGCAGCTTTAATATCTCGATGGATAATCCTCCTCTGACAACCCTCGTGCAAATACAACAACCCTTTAGCTGTCCCCACCGCAACCTTGTACCGAATGTTCCACTCCACCTTCTCTCTTGAACCTATTTTATTACAAAAACAAAAATAACAGAAAAAAAAGATGGAAAATTTAAATAACGAAAAACATCAAAATCAAGATTTTAAAAATCGAATTTTGCTACAATGCACACTGACTGTGAAGCATGGAAGCCAAGCTTCCGATGGGAGAAAACTCGAGCACGAAGTACATTCCACCTTCAACCCCATAACCGATCATTTTTGCAGTGTTCGGATGATTCACATGCGCCATTATCCCGAGCTCGGTGAGAAAATCCCCTATTCGATCTTCTGTATGTCCCTTTATCAAACGCTTTACAGCAACGAGCTGCCCGCCTTTCAAACGACCCCTATATACCTCGGCATAGCCGCCCTTTCCAATCAAATAACCTGAAAAAAACCAGATAATAAAAGATCATTTTTTTAGAAAAAAATCAAATGGATAACTGAAAAAAGTAAAAAACTATTCCTATATTGAAAAACCATGTTTCAGTGAGGTTAGTAATTGGATTCTTTTTTGCTTTTCACTCATGATTACACGGAACTTCAGGGGTACAGAGTAGTTTGTTAGCATCTCCTAACTATAAAACAAAAACAATAGAGAATTCACATGAAGCTTAGTCAAATTAACCGAAGAAAAAATCTAGTTATTGTTTTAAATTTACAAACACCTCTATGTTGTGTGTTGGTTATAAAACTCACCCACCTCAGCGGAACCTTAACAAGTGCAATTTGAAAAAGTTACTTAGTCACAAAGAGTACTTGATATATTATCAAGTCAAATAATAGGTGAAGTATTNAAAAAAAAAAAAAAAAAAAAAGAAGAAGAGTTTTGCACAGAGCAAACCTTGACAGAAGTTGCTGGTAGCAGCCTGGAGCTCAGAGAAGCTAAAGTTCTTCCAATGAGGCTTAAAATAGTTCAAATTTGGATCGATTAAGGGTCGGCCAACTTCCTCCCTCACGCTACTGCTGAACCTTTTGGATAATTTAAAGGCACTGAGGGGCTGCAATGTGGATAGCTGTGCCTTGGACTTCAGCCTGAAAAACTGAAAAAAATCGGCCAATTTTTTGGAAGGAGGTTTGGTATCAATTTGTATAGGTGATTCTGAAGTACTTGCTTTCGGAGAATCTGTCTGAGAATCTGATGATCTCAAGAAATCCTCAAGAACAGTGTCAGGGGAAGAAGTTTTAGCTTTCTCTTTCTCTTTCTCCATGGCTGAGTCTCAGGGCTCTGTCAAGATAGTAGCATAAATTTATTCAGCATTTAAAAAA